CAACATACCAAGTCCATCCCCTCCCTACACAATACTACAAGTTCATCCTCACTCCCACAACATACCAAGTCCATCCCTCACGCCTACACAACACTGCAAGTCCCTCACCTAAACAATATTTCAAGTCCTTCCCCCACTACAACAAGTCCTTCTCTCACTAATACACAACACTACAATTCCTTCCATCACTCATACATAACACTACAATTCCTTCCCTTACTCCTGCACCACACTACAAGTCCTTCCCTTACTCCAACACAACAAGTCCTTCCGTCTCCTACACACACACAAAGTCCTTCTCTCCCTCCCTACACAACCTGCATGCCCTTCCCTCAGTCCTACACAACCCTACGTCCTTCCTTCCTCCCACACAACCCCTGTAAGTCCCCCGTCACCCCTACACAACCTGCATATCCTTGCTTACTCCTACATAACCCTGCATGCCTTTCCTTAACTCCTAACCAACCTTGAAGTCCTTCTTTCACACCTACACACAGTGCAAGTCCTTCCATCATTCCTACACAATACTAGAAGTCCTTCCTCACTCCCTACACAATACTAAAGTCCTTCCCTCATTTCTACACAACACTGTAAGTACTTCTCTCACTCCTACACTCAAAGTCTTCCTCACTTCTAAATAATACTGCAAGTCCTTCCTTACTCCCTACACAATACTAAGTCCTTCTTCCTCTTACACAAACTGAAAGTCCTTCCCTCACTTCTACATAACCCTGCAAGTCTTTCCTCACTCCTACACAACCTTGCAAGTCCTTCTATCACTCCTACACAACCCTGCATATCCTTCCTTCACTCCTACAAACCTGCATATCCTTCCTAACTCCAATGCAACCATGCAAGTTCTTCCTTTACTCCTACACAAACCCTGCAAGTCCTTCTCTCAGTCCTACAGATTGCCAAGTACTTCCCCACTCTTACACCACCCTGCAAGTCCTCCCTCACTCCCTACACAATACTAAGCCATTCCTCACTCCTCCACAATATTGCAGTCCTTCCCTCACTCCTACACACACTATATAAACTTTCTTTCCTCCTACACAATACTAGATGTCCTTCCCTCCCCACCACCCACCAGGTTCCTTCTTCACTCCTACACAACAGTGCAAGTCCTTCCCTCACTCTATACAATACTACATGTCCTTCCCTCCTCCTACACAATACCACAAACTCCTTCTCACTCTATACACTACAAGTCCTTCCCTCAGTCCCTACACAACCCTGTATGTCCTTCCTTCACTCCCACACAACCCTGCAAGTCCTTTGCTCACCCTACACAACCCTCCATGTCCTTGCTTACTCCTACACAACCCCATGCCTTTCCTTCACTCCTAACCAACCCCTGTCAAGTCTCCTTCTCCACTCCACCACACTGCAAGTCTTCTATCACTCCCTACACAATACTAGTCCTTCCCTCACTCCCACCACAATACTATAAGTTCTTCCCTCCATTTCTACACAACACTGCAGTAGCTTCTCTCACTCCCTACACAATACTAGAAGTCCTTCCCTCACTCCTACAACCCTGCAGGTCCTTCTTTCACGCCTACACAACAGTGCAAGTGCCCTCACTCCTACACAATACTACATGTCCTTCTCTCACTCCTACACAATACTACTAAACTCCTTCCCTCCTACACCCCACACTACAAGTCCTTCCCTCATTCCTACACGCCCTACGTCCTTCCCTCACTCCCACCCACAATACTAGAGAGTCCTTCCTCTCACTCTGCACAACCCTGCAGGTCCTTCTTTCACTCTGCAAACAGTGCAAGTCCTTCCCTCCTCCCTTCACAATACTACATGTCCTTCCGTCACTCCCTACACATACAGTCCTTCCTGACTCTCTATACACCAAGTCCTTCCTCCTCCCTACACAATACCTAGAAGTCCTTCCCTCACTCCTACACAATACAACAAAACCTTCTTTTCACTCCTACAATATAGTAGTCCTTCCCTCCTCCCACAACCTGCAGGTCCTTCTTTCACTCCTACACAACACTCCTACACCACACTACAAGTCCTTCCATCACATACACACCACACTACAAGTCCTTCCCTCACCCCACCACACTACAAGTCCTTCTATCACTCATACACCACACTACAAGTCCTTCCCTCACTCATACACCACACAACAAGTCCTTCCCTCACCCTCTCCTTTACACCACACTACAAGTCCTTCCCTCACTCCATACACCACACTACAAGTCCTTCCCTCCTCCTACACCACACTGCAAGTCCTTCCATCACTCTTACACCACACTACAAGTCCTTCCCTCACTCCTACACCACACTACAAGTCCTTCCCTCATTCATACACCACACTACAAGTCCTTTTCTCTTTCCTACACAACCCTGCAAGTCCTTCCCTCACTAATACAGAACACTACAAGTCCTTCCCTCACTCCTACACCACACTGCAAGTCCTTCCATCACTCTTACACCACACTACAAGTCCTTCCCTCACTCCTACACCACACTACAAGTCCTTCCCTCATTCATACACCACACTAAAGTCCTCTTCTCTCTCCTACACAACCCTGCAAGTCCTTCCCTCACTAATACAGAAATACAGAACACTACAAGTCCTTCCCTCACTCCTACACCACACTACAAGTCCTTCCATCACTCATAAACCACTCTACAAGTCCTTCTGTAAGTTTTAATTTTTTCTTACAGTTTGTGTGGTGTACATTTTATTAGGAACTGATAGAAGTTCAAAGGCAATTTGGTCATTTTGACTTGAAGTGTAAATGTAAAGGATTTTGAGGTGACCTTCTTGGATACCTTGTTGTACCTGCTACAGGACTGGCTTTTGTATTTTCTAACCTGATTCTAATACTCTGGCACCTGACATCAGCTCTCATTCCATTCTATTGAAAAAATCAGGCATAAGCTCCACTTCTTCACAAAAGTGAAAATAAGCATTCATTTTGGGTCTAAATCATTTCAAACATGTGCATAATACTGTACATGAGGATTTAAGTCACAAACATAATACCGAGTAGTAATTTTCTGGCAAATATTTTGTGCTCTTGTTTACAATGACAAAGCTTGGTGATCCATCAAGAGTTCTCTTACATCACTTAATAAGTCCTAAAAAGCAGTTTTTATACACACTTGCACACTATACTGTAACTGTTATGCCCAAGTTTCCTCGCTAGTTACCTGCTGTGCATCTGGGAGGAATTACCTGAAACCCCTAAAATTAAGGTTTTGATAAACTTATTTTTACCTTGTTATTAATTGCAAAGTGAATGTGTTCCTTGACATTTGACTCACTGATATACACAGGAGATTGCTTACCTTGTAAAGTATTTTGTATTTTTAGTGATTACTTTTCTTCTTCTTCCTGACTTATACTGTACAGTGTACTTGGCTTTATGTCTCGTTAAAGAATTTTGTTCTGTAAATATGAATCTCTAAGCTGCTCTTGGGAAGTTATTCATCTCTTATCCATGATTACATTGGTTACAGAACTTTTCTCTGGTCTGGTGATTATTAATACTACAGACATGTACCAAATTCAGATGCTCTAAATATTGAGCATTGTTACACCTTACCTTGCTCATATGCAAGGAAAGACAAAATATGGGAGGATGAACTAAGGAAGTTGGTGTTTTAAAGGGAATAGATGTACAGGTACAAAAACACTAATGTAAATTTGTATGTGAGGAAAGTTTATGTACAATATATACTACACAAATTTTTTTTAAATTAAGATGGCATGGGTGTATACTGAACAAAATACTGTACCATGAAAAGGAAATAAAAAGGGACTACCAGTACACTCAGTACAGTATATATAAAAAAGGAGAACAAAATGAATCAAGAACATTTAAAATTATTGGCAGGTGACCAAGATGAGGTGTAAGCACAAAGTTTAGGAATAAAAGAAAAGTGTTTATACATTTTATGGTTTTTATCTAGTGCAGCATTAACACCATAGTTAAGACAATACATTGTGCCCCACAACAAGAATAGGCATAATATATATGGATTAGTGATTGTATATGATTGTCGATATAAAGATGAAACTAACATTGACTTGAGCTTGATATTATACCAAGATAACAGGTTGAACTATGACCAAGTATTTACATGTAATGTCTAATACTAAGTTACTGTAGTGCAGTCCTACAAATGGAGAGTCTTGTGGCTAGTTGTATTAAAGTGATGCCTAGAGAAAAAGTATTTTAAAGGTTGCTGAGCTGGTGATGTAGGGCATAATATAGTAAATAGGAAAATAATGAATGGATGTAATTATTTAAAAATTCTGAAATTTTTTTTATTTACAGATGAAAAAACTGCGAAGAGAAGACAAAAGAATCATGTCAATGCTTTATAAAAACAGTTGAGTGACAGCAACTTGTAAGGTTCTATTGATTTGGTCTGTGATAGATCTGAGAGATGAAAAAAATGAGGCTTGTTGATCGAATTCTTCTCTTGTAGTAAGGTGCCAGGCAGGAATATGGGAAGGTTTTAAGGATTCAAATGGAGATGCTGGAACTCCCACAAGCCAGAGTGATCCTCCCCAGGCCTGGGGTAGTTCAACAGTACCACTATGCATCCCCTGGGTGGAGTAAGGCCATGCACCTATGCATTCTGCCAGCAGTGTCCACTCTAGGGAATTCTTTAGATTGTCCAAGAAAAAATAAAATACAAAGTCCTTAGGTTCATAGATTTTGGGGGATATGAGGAAGCCTGGAGCACATGGGTTCCTGGTGATTGGTGAGGCTTGGGATAAGCGAGACCAAACCCAAAAATCATACTCTGATATAGTAAGGGCAGTCATGGGGGGGAGCCACACAGATGATCCGTTATGTAGTGGTCGCTCCAAAAAGTAGAAGTGGTGTATGTCTGGTAGGGTATTGACCCCTATGCCATAGTGTCGCGAACGACTCAAGACTGGGTATATACACTCTCGTTCCTGGCCTACTGTTCTATAGAGAAAATTATCATACAATAAGGACACTGAAGAAGTATCTGGCCATATTGCAACAGCTTTTCTTGCTTCTGCAGTGAGCACCAAATATCCCCAACCAGGTTGCCTAGATCCACGCATCATCAGATGAGGGTCTGAATACATGTTGATATGAGCAGCACCAATGCCTGACACACACCAAAGAGAGGCATCTATCTCCAGAGCTGGAGCATAGTGGAGCAGCATCTCCAGCCAGTCATGTGATACCTCCACATCTTCGTCAAGGAAGGCTAAATATCGTGCATCAGGAAAACTTTCTATTCCTGCTGTCCAAGCTGCTCGGTAAAACTGAAAGAGACGATGATTGATGGAAGGCACATCTTGGGAAATGTTTACTACTTGATAATGAAAGTGGAAATGCTCCAACAGAGACAGTGTACTAGAATCAACTAAACCATTATGGTCAGTACCAACAACAACTAAGACCATGGATATTGATATTTTTCTGGTTTCCATCAGACGGGTGAGCGTATGGGCCAAATATTGGAGCCGCCCTCCTGCACACACTACTACTCCTACCTTCTTTTTGTCATCCTGACTGGAGATTTTTTCTATTCTAGATAACACAGGGGACATTAATATTGGTTTAACAGGATCACAGATAGGACCCATTGCTGCATTACTGTCACAAAGAAGTGGATGTGAAGTATCCTTGTGAGGTTTTGAGAAAGGCATAAGTGGGACTACAGCATGAGCATACAATAACGTCTTTGAATTATACAAGGAATGTGGGTTTGGTGCTACAGTCTCAAGTAATGTCTGTCCACCTACCACGAATGCCCACACCCAGAGTGCATGAGGAGGAGCGTAAGGGGCAAGCAGGGAGCCAAGACTAGTGAGAGTTGGCAAAGCTGCTCCTAAGCCATATGTGCCTGCCCTTCGCACCACCATCACCACCACACGACCTGCCTGTAACTTATGCACCCACCATGTGAGGTCCTGTGCATATGTGAAGGCATTCCATGTATTAAAAGTTTTTTGTAAGAGAATAGAGCCAGTAACATCATGGAGAACTGTCATCACCACTCCATCATCTTTGTCTGGCATCCACCAGTCAGTCTTGGCTGCTCCTGTGGCTACACTGGCAGCAGGGGTGAGTCTGTGGTCAAATCCTTGTTGACACTCCTGCATCAAGCAAGACAAGTTGAACACTGCACCCATGGCTGATGATTCAACACCCATCAAGAGCAACCTGTATATACAGTACATCTTAAATCAAAACTCTGCCAGTGATGTTCTTTATATGTATAAAGTTTTCTGTATCTAACAGATATAATGTGCTGAATATGGATAATTATGGTTTTTAATCTTATAAGGGATCATATAAATTTTAAAAAGGTGTTCTACTGTATTCATAGGAGATAAATGGTGTATACAAACTAAAATATACAGTACAAAAAACAGAAAATGGGAAAATAAAATAAAGTACATGCTCAGGCTGCATCTAATCGGAAGAATAGGCAGTGATTGTAATGGAAGGTATTAGTATTTTTTTTTTTTTTTTTCTTACTGGGATTAGCCCACCTGGGCACAGGTCACTGACCCACATCGGGGCCTGGGAGACGTAAAGGTGGTGGTGGTGGTAATAATAGTAATAGTAATAATAATAATAATAATAATAATAATAATAATAATAATAATAATAATAATAATAATAATAATAATAATAATAATAATAATAATAAAGAACCATAAACAAATACAAAAATTAAAAAAATATCAAAGGTGAGAAACAATATAAGTATTGTATGTATGTTGTGTTGTTAAAAATAAGAAAAACAATTGAAACTCTGCAATTGAGTGAAAATGAGGCAGAAAGTCAGATCAGCAACCTGGGACTTGGTCACAATTTTTGTGATGCCATATGGCAGAGGGTCTATCATATGACAACACATTATGCTTCCAATATCTTCCCATACGGTAGTACCCCCCTGTTTGGTAGCTGCCTACTACCTACTATGACAGTAATAAGTAGATTGTCACTTCCTATTGGCCAAGGCCTGAGGCTGTACATTCGTAACATCTCTCATGTCATATGGAATGGTTACAAAACCTGCCCTGAACAGACAAGGCTTGAGCACTCTATGCCCAGCAACCTGCAAAGAATGACACTGCAGTCAAAATACAGTATGTGATATTGGAGTTGAAACCAGAGGGCACTGGGAGCATGTATCCCATTCAATAGTTTAAAATTTTCTGCTCCAGTGTATATAGAAAACTTTTATAAAGAGGATAAAGTGAACTTTGCACTATGCCACTGCTTATTACAAATCTTGGACAGATACAGATAAAGAGGAAAACACATAAAATGAGCGAAACGAACAGAAAAGCAAACGGTACTATATGTTGGAGCCAAAAAAAAGGCTGATATAAACGAATAAAAAGAATGACGGATATAGACAAATGATTTACAAACAGACTGGTATATAGACAAACAATAAAGATACAGATTGGCAGGGAAGTATTACAAAATAGGCAATTTGTATGTCATAACAATGGTGACAGCAAATAACAAAAGGACAAAGACCGACACTAAAACATTCATATAGAAGTTAATAAACTGAAAATTGATAAAAACAGATGTGGGAAGATGTTGCTATAATGTTATTACTGGATTTCAACAACAAAGGTCTTTAAGCAAGTAACAAGGTTAGTAATTACACTATTCCAACAAAAATTAAAAATTATGAGATAAGAATGCTGGAAAGGGAAGAAGTAGATACAAAATAATAATCAGACAAGAAAAGTGAAACTCAGTTTCACAGAAGACAGGTAGTTGGTGACCAACATTAGACTTACACAAACATACCTGCCGTCGTGGTTGATGGGGACAAGGCCGTAACACAACATGATGGTCATCAGGAGCACAGGTGTTACATCCTGCAACATTTTGGGAAGATTGCAAGGTGTCAGGAGTGAGTGGCTTCTGTAATGTTATAGAAAAAATGATAGTATTGTGTGGGAACATACTTTGATAATAGCTGAACACCAGGGAAACCACAAATATCTTGAGTTAATACAATTGGTTAACGTTTTGGAACTTGTCTAACTTTATTCTCAGAGCAGACCCTAAAGGGACAAAATTCTACGGCCACATATACTATACAAGTACAGTGTATTAATAAATAAATAAAATATTAAAAAAGAAATCGATGTAAAATTGGGATATAAATAGAAAGCTAATTAATTAACAACAATTTAAAATATTAAATGCAGAAACTTACTGTGAAAAACACAAGGTTAAGATTCGTTTTATGCACTATCCAGTATCTCCTAAGACATGCTATCTATTTATAATCTTACCTTATATACGTCCTCAACTAACCTCCAACCCTCCTGGAAAACTATTTCGATGAAAATCGCATACAAATTCTTTTGGGGGAAAAAATCTGCCATGTTCTGTGTGCCATTTCACGGCTGAGTGAGCTCCGTTCCCCTCGCAGAAAGAATGTTAGGTTAGGCAAACATATTTTTCTGGTATGTTTTTACGAGCTTTCTGCCAAATTTGACCTTTGTCTCGTTATGGCATAACGCTATATTTCAGTTGAAATATACGACCGTGGTCAGTACCACGGTCGTACATCGGCCAAAATCTCGATCTCTGGGATTTTGTTCAAAATCTCAGTTTAAGTACTCCTGAGTATGCTGATGGTGAATATATGGTCCACAATTCGATTGCGGGGTAATTAATGGCCGTAATGACACGATGAAGATTTTAATAAAAAAAATTTCAATGTTAATTACTCGCCAGCTATGGGTTCCGAGGTGCGATTTTGGCGTTTTTGTGTTATTCTGGAAGTATTTAATAATTAGTTAAACCCCTCCAATTCCAAAAGAAAAGTATATTTCAGTCGAAATATTTTTAACATGTACTGGATATTGTAGTGGATACTCTCCCCTACAACTGCTGACTGATCACTTGCCGTTCGCTTACCGGCCAATCAGCTTCCAAGTTTAGAAGCTCCAACAAATTTCCCTGAATATGAATTCGCAACTTTTCGATTTACAATAGGTACCTACTTACTGCTAGGTGAACAGGGACCAAGGGGGCTAGGAGGAGTGTCCAAACAACTTCCGCCGGCCCGGGAATCGAACCCGTGACATCTTGCTTGCGAGGCAAGAGCAGTACCGCTCTACCACCAGCGCCCCGCCAATCAGCTGCGAGTTCCACAGACCAGGCCTCACTCGCGGACGGACATGTACAACTGCTGACCGATCACTTGCTGTCCGATACCAGCCAATCAGCAGCGAGTTCCACAGACCAGGCCTCACTCGCAAACTGCGGGGTGATTGGCACCGCTCATTTCGTACCTCCTCTCTCTGATCCTAGAGAATCGTATAAATACACCTCAGCCTGGCCGTGGAAGAACAAACACACTTAAATTTCAAGCAGTGCAAAATATAGCCCTCAAAAGAGCAGCAAAGCACCAACCACCATACACACAAACAGTACAAGACATACACACAGAACACAGCATAGACCCACTCAACACCAGAATACACACCCAAGCAAATGCAATATGGTAAAAAATCCAGCAAGAACAGGATCCCATACTAAACCAACTAAATGGGGAAAACAACAACACATGGCACAGATGGTGGCCTAGAAGCAGGAAAAATGATAACGAAGAACCAGAGCCTCTATATACACAATAAAAAAGAACCAAAAGATGGGAACAATTCTCCAGTCACACAAGGACCTGGAGGGACCCCACAAGCAAACAAAGACCTAAAAAGTTCACAAACACCCACAATAAAAACTAGAAACGAAAAAGATGGGGATCATCCCTCCAATGCCACAAGCACCTGGAGGGACCCCCCCAACATAATATGCCCCAAGGAAACATCAAATAGAACAACTTAGTTTAGCTTGGCTGAGACCGGCTTTCCCTAACCGCAAGAGTCCTCTAATGCAGCACTGTTGACGGAAGACAAAACCTCGTCTCCGCAAGGTGGATAGTGTGGGGTTCAGGATTGTTTGGTTCACACTCAGGATGGGGTGGAGAAAGGAAACTCACAATGTGCTCTCTATATACATGTTGTATTGGATGTACAATGCAGCTTGGTGCTGATGTAGAGAGAGCTGGTTGGTGAGGATGCTCAGAGAAGGACAGCTTGTGGGTCGCCATGCTCGCCGGGCAGGCGGAGGAGGAGCGAGGGCCGCCAGGCAGCGGCAGAGGTGGTGTTGCTGGGTGGTTGGTGTGGGTAGAAAGAGAGAGATCACCACGAGGTCAGGTCTTAAATAGCGGGGGTTGGCGTGGCTCAGTAGTTGACCCCCGCTCCGTGATGTATGGCGGCGCTGGTTGACCTAGACCACGAGGCATACACTGGGGAGTTGGTGGGGTCGACTACTCAGTGACAAACAGCGTTTGTAGGGGAGAATTCCACTACAATACTCCCCCTTCCCTCCAGGCGGTGTAGGAGACTTGTTGTCTGCAGAGTTGCTTAGCACATGTGAGGCAGAACGGGCGGTGCATGCCTCATGTGAGACAACGGCGATGGCGTGGATGAGCCGGTCGCTGGATACAACTGTCTAGATACACCATATCTGCTGGAGTAAAGAGGGAGAAAAAGGGTGTGTGGAGGCGATGAATGTTGTGCTTCCCTCACGGCAGGTACAGAGTCGTCAGATGCGCCTGCTGGGGTGTGTGGGCCTGGGTCAGGAGCAGGGGCTGCGTCAGCAGAAGCGGATGAGGGCTCGTGACAGCAGCTGGGTCCACGACAGCAGCAGGGTGCAGGACATTAGCAGGGAGTACCTGAGGGAGAAAAGAGGGGTGTGTGGGTCCGCACTCAGGAACAGAGGCCGCATCAGGGGCGGCAGGGGTTACTGCTGGGCCGGGGTCGGCGTCTGAGGCAGGACGGGTGTGCTGGGGTCGGAAGAGGAGCGACTGTCTGCTTAGAGTAGCAGAGCTGCTCTAGGGCGTCTGACCTGCGGTGTAGAGACAGTAGCTGTAGAGCCGATGAGAGCTGCTTCTGGGTGGATAAGCCAGTCTTCCATGTTGCTTGAAGACTAGGAGCGTGATCAGTTTCTCCTCCATCCTGTGTGAGTGCGAATCTCCGGGAGTCACCATTTGTGGGGTTCAGGATTGTTTGGTTCACACTCAGGATGGGGTGGAGAAAGGAAACTCACAATGTGCTCTCTATATACATGTTGTATTGGATGTACAATGCAGCTTGGTGCTGATGTAGAGAGAGCTGGTTGGTGAGGATGCTCAGAAAAGGACAGCTTGTGGGTCGCCATGCTCGCCGGGCAGGCGGAGGAGGAGCGAGGGCCGCCAGGCAGCGGCGGAGGAGGTGTTGCTGGCTGGTTGGTGTGGGTAGAAAGAGAGAGATCACCACGAGGTCAGGTCTTAAATAGCGGGGGCTGGCGTGGCTTAGTAGTTGACCCCCGCTCCGTGATGTATGGCGGCGCTGGTTGACCTAGACTCGGTGACAGACAGCGTTTGTAGGGGAGAATTCCACTACAATAGCCTGTGGGGTTATGAGATATTGGTTCACACTCAGGATGGGATGGAGAAAGGAAACTCACGATGTGCTCTCTGTATACATATTGTATTGAATATACAATGCAGTTTGGTGCTGGGAAGGTAGCATGGTTACAAGCGTTGAGTCGAGAGAGCTGGTTGGTGAGGGTGCTCAGAGGAGGACCAACTTGTGGGTCGCCATGGTCGCCGGCAGGAGCGAGGGCCACCAGGCAGGAGCAGAGGAGGAGGTGTTGCTTGCTGGTGGCTGTAGGTAGAAAGAGCGAGGTCACCACGAGGTGAGGTCATATATAGTGGAGGTAGGCGTGGCTTGACAGTTGACCTCAGATATGCTAGGCAGCGCTGGTTGCCGACCCAGACCACGAGGCGCAGGCTGGGGAATTCGAAGAGGGTCGGCTGCTCAGCAACAAACAGCGTTTGTAGGCGAGGAATCCACTACAAGCCCACCTGCTGTTAACCTCCTCCTCTATTTCCTACTTCTGAACTTTACTTTGTACTGTACCCTTGTAGTGGATTCCTCCCATACAAGCACCGAACCTTCTCGAATTCCCTAGCCTATGCCTCCAGCGCCGCCCACGGAGCGAGGGTCAACTATCTACCCACGCCTTATAAGGCCTGACACCGATGTGACCGCCCTCTTTCTACCTAGTGCCACAGGCAAGCAACACCTCCTCCTCCACGCCAGCCTGGCGGCTGCCGCTCCCGCCAGCGACCTTGGCATCCCTCAAGCGAGTGTTCCTCCTCTGGGCACCCTCACCACCCAGCTCTCTCTACTCAACGCTTATTACCATGCTACCTGCCCAGCAACAAGCTGCATTATACATCCAGTACAATATGTATACAGTGAGCACATTGTGAGTTTCCTTTCTCTATCCCATCCTGAGTGTGAACCGATATCTCATACCCCCACACCCTTCTTGCACCCTCAGAGCTAATGCTCTCTTCTCTCCGTATCACCGACCGACCTGGACATCATTCTACTCTACTCTCCAGAACCAGCAAGACCTCCAAACAAGCTCCTCACCAACAAGCTCTCTTAACAAGCTCCTCACCCAACAGGACCTCTCAGTAAGATCCTCACCATACAGTACAGCAACTCCCTAGCACTGCACTGTACATACTATATATATATATATATATATATATATATATATATATATATATATATATATATATATATATATATATATATATATATATATAGAAAACGCATTGTGAGTTTCCCTTCTTACCTCCATCCTCAGTGTGAGATCTCTTACATGTACTATGTATGTGAGCCCATAAAAAGAGAAATAAACAAACAGAGAAATTTGACAACTGACCACATACAGTACGCTACAATATGCACTGGCTAAGAATGTACTTGAACGGCTGAATCTGCGTCGAAGTTGATAAAGTCGGGTCGAAAATGAGTTCACATTTGGCGCTGTCACAGCAATGGCAG